TCCCCTTGTCCTGCTGTCAACTTCGTGCTCTGTGTGTCCTTAAATTGCTTTGAGAGCCCCAAAGCTCTCGCGTGCAGCCTGTGTGTCTCCCACCAGCTCACAGCCGGCTGCTGCGCGACCTTTTTCCTACCGCCCCCAGCGCTGACATCACCTGCAGCGGTGGGGGCGGGGCGCAGCTCAGGACAAAGGGCCGCAGCCCATGAAGGAACGTGGCGGCCGCCGTGCACGCGCACGGCCGGTCAACCCGCGAGCAGCCGTGTGAGAAACGCGCCGGGCTCACGCGCCGGTGCGAGGTTCCAAAAATTGCGCCGCGCGCGCACGCGGGCGCTACGTGTGTTGCTCAGGCGTTAGCAGTGCCGCTCTCACCACGCGTTCATCGAGCGGCCGCGCAACCCCAAGATAAGGACGGTTGGCGGCGGCTGTCGCCCGCCCGCCCTAAGCCTGAGCCGAGCGCCCCGCGGGTCAGGGTGAGGGGACGCGCGTTCTCGGGGCTGCTCGCGCGCCCCGCCGGCTCGGGGACGCGCTCCGCGGGTCGTAGGCCCGCCGGGCCGCGCTTATTCCCCCCTCGCGGCCCCGGTTGAAGGCGTTCTGTCGGCCGGAGGGGCGCTACCCAGCGTGCTCCGCGCTGTCCGCCGGGCGATTTGCATAGGGGGCAGGGCCGCGCGGCAGGAGTGCGGCGGAGAGCGCCCCCTGCCGGCAGCACCCGGCCTCGCCTCAGCGAAGTCGCGCCGCCTGAACCGCCCTCCTCAGATCCTGGTTACCTCCTCAAAGCTGCGTTTAATTTCTGCAGGCGAATGGTGAGACGGATGTCAGTGCACGCCGTTTCCTGATTACAAATGTGATAGCAATTAATTGTGTTTGTTCCCACATGCTACGGTCTCTATGCATACAGCACACGTGCACCCTGTGTACAGCAATGTGGGTTTTGCACCACAGCTCGGTGCTCTCCAGGCTCCTGGAAGCCCCGTGGAGTTAGCCCACGGGGTCTGCTGCCCGCCTGGCCCTCGTGCTGACACCTGTCCTCTGCTTCCAGGTGGTGCTGCTGGGGATCGACATCATCTCCGCACTGGTGTCCCGCCTGCAGGACCGCTTCAAGGCTCAGATCGGCACAGGTAAGGGCTGGGTGTAATGCTGCCTCTCCCCTCCGTCCCACCCGTGGCACAGCTTGTGATGTCTCACCCTCCTCTGAGGGGCGGAGGGGCTGTGCAGCTGTGGTGGTTTCCTTCTGAAAGATTTGGATGCTGCTGTTCTCTTACTGCAGTGCTGCCCAGCTTGCTGGATAGGCTGGGGGACTCCAAGGACTCTGTGCGGGAGCAGGATCAGTCCTTGCTGCTGAAAATCATGGAACAGGCTGCTAATCCTCAGGTATGTTTCACAGCCCTTTGTGGTGTGTGAGAGAGGAGCTCTTGAGTATTTCTGTTGTTGATATCCTGGTACTCTGTATAGATGTTAACTTTTCCTCACTTTCTCTTCTATCAGAAAGCGTTCTCCTATGGCCATCTCTAATCTCCCTATGCTTCTGTTATGAATGGTTCATGTTATGTGATAATGCTATTGGATGGCTGGGTGGTCAGGGTCTGCATGGGAGTGTGTGAATGTTGCTTGGATTTATCAAGGGGCAGTCAGTGTAATTGTTCTGGGTGCTGGAAAGGCACTCGCTTTGTATAGTGCATGTTATTTTAGTTTGTGGCAAGTTAGTATGAATTCAGCAAAGAATAGTCATACTTAAAAATGTTTTACTGCTTGTTGTCTTTTTCTGCTTGGATGGATGTAAAGTTTGTCATACAAAAATGTTACAGTGCACGTCTGCTGAAAGAATGAATCTCTCTTGCCTGGCCTCCTGTTTTGTCTCACTTTCTTTTCTGTCTCCCACAGTACGTGTGGGATAGGATGTTAGGAGGATTCAAACACAAGAATTTCCGGACAAGAGAAGGGATCTGTCTCTGCCTTATTGCAACACTCAATGCGTAAGTCAGAACCTCCTGCAGCGCTAAGTTACGCTTGCAAACTTGCTCTGTGGTTCACACCAATCCCCTTTTTGTTCTTCATTCCCAGATCTGGAGCTCAGAGTTTAACTCTGAGTAAGATAGTGCCGCATATATGTAACTTACTTGGAGATCCAAACAGCCAGGTAAGCTTTTGCTGTGAGTTGCTTCTGAAAGTAGCATGGAGTGCCATTGACAGTAGGTGGGGCTCTGTGTTCTGGCTGATAAATTAGCTGAAAAATGTGCTGCTGTTGGTGAATGATGTTTATGAAAAGCTCTTGGTTGATTTTGTGTGGGTCAGAGTTGAAGTATGCCTACAGTAGCGTCAGAAGTTCAACAGAACAGCATCAATCTGCCGATGATATGGAACAGAACAAAAAATCTTTGTGGAAAGAGAGCTGCTCCTGTACCTTACAGCTGAGTGCATGGGAAGCTGCAGGCATCCCTTCAGGTTCAGTGAAGCATCTGTACCTTCAGATAAGAACCAGTTTGGGCAGGGAGGGCAAATGGGACCAGACTGACAGCCAGACCACATGCACTGCCAGAGCTTGTATGGGGAGATTCTGATCAAGGGGCGGAGAGAAGATAAGTTGTATTGGAAACTACTATCAGCAGTGCATACTGCAAGAAGTATCTGTTGCTTTTTGGTGCTTTCTATCCTGCTTTGGGAGATGCAATTGGAAGATACCAGCTTTGTTAACAGTTTCAACATTCTAAGTTGGGGTTGTACCAGATCTGTTGCATAGGAGAGAGCTCTCTTGCCAAGGAGAGCTTGTAACCTAATCTGAATTTGGAAGTGAGCGAGGCTAGTGAGAGGAGAGAGGGGATGAGGAAGCAGAGTTCAGATTAATGTTAGGTAGTACAGGTACCTGCAGGTTCTGAATATTTCAAATCTCCGTTCAACATGGGTAGTGCTCATGATCCAGGTTTAGAGTGGGAATGTATCTGGAGAGAAGTGTGAGGTGGGCAACTAGGGAATGGGTTTGTACTGGCTCTGGAGCCTCCCCTTGCTAAAGGGGAGGGCCAAGTGGGAAGCAGCTTCTCCTGCTTTTGCCAACACAGGGAGGATAAGCTGGTTCCTCCATGAAGGCTTCTAAGGAAGTGGAAGATTCAGGGTCCTCCCTGTTCCTGAGCTGTGGCTGAGCAAGCTGTTACTCTGTGGGGATGCTGGGTTCAGGATGCTGAGTTGTTGCTGCACAGAGACATTGTGGTCCTGGCATCAGTGAGCTTGTTGCTGAAACCAGAAAGCTGGTGAGGGGACTGAAATGTGTTCCCTCACTGCTACCTTTTATGTGCCTGGCACAGCCCAATCTCAGCTCCCAGAACGAAGTGGGAAATGAGGCTGACTTTAATGACTCATCTCTTGGGGACCTGCTCCACCTCATCTGCACAAAGTTCATACCTGAACTGTTGAACACCAGTCTGCCAGCAGCAGTGTGCCTTCTGAGCTCTGGGACATCTGGGCCATTTGCTGGGTCAGTGCTGCCCTCTCTTGGTGAAACATGATGGAGAAACAAAGGTCCCTGTCAAGTGTGGCATTTTCCCCTTTTGTTGTGGGTATCAGAAGCTGAGTTCTTATTGCCCTTTCAGCTTCACAAAGCCTTACGAGCCTTCCAGGTTTTCCCTGCTAGGCAGCCTGTGGCCTGCTGTGTTTGGGGCTGTTGCTGCTGTGTTGGGTAGTCACAGCCCCTGGCTGCTGTGGCTGGTGTGTTGCCTTGCAGCCCATGGTGATTGATTCACTGCAGATATGTGCAGTGTAGTCACTGCTGAGGAGCAGTGTGTCCTCCCTCTGACCAGCTGCAGCATGCCTTCATTTCTGTGGAGAAACAGTCTGCATGTGCTGGCCTCCCTAGTTCCTCCTGTCAGTGATGAAAGCTGCCCTGTTGGCACCTGGAAGGCTGTATGCTGTGCTGCAGCGCTGGACTGTGGGGCTGAGGGGCAGAGAGGCAATACTAGCAGACGAGGGCTGAAGCACATGAAGGTGGCAGTTCAGAACATTCTGGATGGAAATGGTGTAGAGTGGGGGAGAACAGGGTGAAAGTAGAGTCTTAGTAATTTTTTCCTAGGAAGTAGGGTGTGCCTGTCCGTCCTTCATTGCCACACAAAGCTAATTTTAGTTTGGCCCCACAGAAATGCCTTGTATCTATCCCTGATGCCATCAGGCCCAGTGCTGTTGTGCTACCATGCTTTCTTTCATTTGCTTTGCAGCTCTGCTCCAGCACTGGTGGTTTCAGTGTACTCAGCCACCAGCCTTAGCTTTGGGAACCCCCTTTGTTGAGTGAGGGTATGCGGAGGGGAAAGTTAATGTTGGAAACAAGCAGAAGTGCAGGGCTTGCTGGTATTCCAGCAGACAGAGCAGATAGCTTACCTGTCTGCCCCCCAGAGGGAGGATGGTTGGTATGTAAATGTGTCACTGCGTTGGGATTTCCAGCAGTCAGTTTTGCAAATCAGCTTGGAAAATATGTGAAATCACATTTGTTCATACACCTTTGCTCCTGGTGCTAGTGAGATACCTAGCGTTGCAGCTAAAGCCTGGGGCACTCAAAAGTAAGCAACCAGCCATTAGTGATACAGCTCTTTTGTTGTGTTACAGTGAGTTTGATTAATGATCAGATAAAGACTGGTCAGAGAGTTGGGAATTTTTAGTGCTTGTCCTATGTGGTTGGGGTTTTTTTTCTTCTTTGACTGTTGTCTGGGCTTCAGTGCAAGTATGTGACTAAGGACTAGGAGTACAGTAAGACTACAAGGGTTGTTGTGCCTTTATTCTTCTGTCGCATGTATTTCTATGCATTGTTTTTCTTGTGCTAGGTAATGTCATCTGGGTTAGAATGAGCTTTACTGCAGGCATACTTTGGGCAGTTTTGATTGGGAAATTGCTTTGTTTGTAGCAGGCCAGCTGAGTACTGAGCCTGAGTCAGTTGTCCACGTAGTGACTCGGGTGACTGATTACCCCTTTGATATACATTTATCATCAGTGCGGAAGTTTGGGTAAAGCTAGACCTACTGATCCTGCTAATATCTGAAATGAAGGAATGGAGGCTCTTGTGAATGCTGTGGTTGTGCATATAGTGGCAACTGTTGTTGCTGAGAAATACACAAATTTCTTTCTCCAAGGTAGGGCAGGGATGTATTTCTTTGAACTGCATGGATGATTGACTTCTCTCACATCTCTCTTTCAGGTTCGAGATGCAGCAATAAACAGCCTTGTGGAAATTTACAGACATGTTGGTGAACGTGTAAGGGCTGATCTCAGCAAAAAAGGATTACCCCAATCTCGGTATGTTGAGAATGTCCCTATATTTTAACTATTTGGGGGTGTTTTTTATTTCCTTGCCAAGGCTTCGTATGCTGCATGGTTGAACCTTTTCCCGGGGTCAGTTTTTCTTCCATCCTACATGCAGTTAGTCTCTAAAATGCAGGACAGAACATAATTAGACCTGAGGATGAGACTTCCATAGATGACAGACTGTGCACAGGGGGAGCAAGGGGAGAGGTTGTTTCAGAGGCGGGGTGCACACAGATGGAAGGAATGCTGCTGTCTCTTGTTTTCCAGTGGAAACATCTGCTGTAGCGTGGCCTCGAGGAGTATGATCTCTAGGAAAGAGTAATGAGATGCTGCAAAGATCTTATGCTCCACTGGGCCTGTGACATGCTTAGGAAAGAAATGTCAGGGCCAAACAAGAGTGTTGTGCAAAGTTTGCATTTTTGTCTATTTTTTCTGCAGATTGTTAAAAATAGGCAAAGCAATCATGAACTGGAAATGTATTTACAATGAGATCTGCCACATCTTCAGTAGTGTTGTAGTTCCAGTCATATTTCTTTCATCTCTGTAGTATCCCTCTTCTGTTTTTATCAGTTATTGCATGTTGTGATTTTTTTTAATTTTGCAGTAACTCCCCTCCCCCTCGATGTTTCTGATAGTGTTCTCAATGACCTGAGTTGAAGCAAAATTTGTCCTGTAACATCTTAAATTAGAAGGTTCCTAAAGATTAAATTCATTTATTGATTGTGGATTTATTTCTTTAACTTACAAACAGATTGAATGTAATTTTCACAAAATTTGATGAGGTCCAAAAATCTGGAAACATGATCCAGAGCTCAAGTGGTGAGTAAAAGTACCTGTATTCTTTTTGGTATCTTCAGTAGTTTTCAATTGGTGAGATATTAAAATAGATGCAAAACCAGTATTCTGCTAAGAGAAACAAGTATGAATGATAATTCAGAAATGTCCGCATCACTTTTGCAGAAAACAAAATTGATGTTTAGTTGGTCAGTTCTGCATTCCTAGCAGTACTAAGAAGAATTCTGAGAACAGAAGGTGTTGCTAACTGTCTTCCTTTTCCTTGACTGTCATTAGGGAAATGGAACTTCTGTTTTCAAGTCTCTGTGCATGTTTCTTTAAATTGTCAATAAGGTAACAAGTAACAGAAGCAGCCTTTTCAGTTTTAATAGTTTACAAAGCACAGAGTGTACATATGAACATCAAACACTACTATGTTAATGTTGCTTGGGAATTGTATTTTGCAGTTTCTAAGTTCATTTACTTTGTATGTGTATGATTGGTAATGGGTCAAAGCTCTCAACAGAGGTTTATTCTGTTTTCTTGTCTGAGACCAGGATTTTGCTTGCTTTTATACAAGAGTCTGTTGCTGCTTTTCATGTACTGCTTACTTTTGGAAATGTTTTTGAGTGAATTTCTGGTTCAAAGAAGGGAATTCATCATTCTGCCAAGAGCAGAGATGAAAAACATGAGTTCAGTGCTGCAGGTGCCTCTCAGATTTGTGCCCTCTGCAAAGCTGAGAGCAGGGAAAATGATGTCTCCATTCTTTTCCACAGCTGTCTTAAAAGCCAAGAGAGCAGAGGTCTTTGCTCTTCTACGGTGGGGGGGTGTGGGGGGGGGAAGAATGTGTGTTTTCACTTCCAAGGTGCCCTTCTTCTTGCCATACTCATTTTTAAAGTACAATAGACTTAATTCCTGCAGGAAATAATAAAATAGATTTATTTGATAATTAAGTAATATTTTGGGTTATTCTAAAATGTTGTGTGATGTTACCTTCTGCATCTGGGAATGATGAAAACCTATTGCAGGTTCCTCTGTGATGGAATGGGATAAAAACATTTCTGTGATTTTGTAGAAAGTAGGAAAGTAGTCTGTGTAGGTAGGTGATGCTTATGGTTTATGGTATGCTCATCTGAGTACAGCTGAGAAGCAAATGTCCTTGTAAAAGGAGGGTGCAAATATCTAATTGTTAACAAGCATCTTAATATGTACAACACATAGATGTTCTTCTGAGATCCTAGCTCAAACTGAAACAAGCATACGCTTGATCCAATTTCTCTGCTTTCCACTTGAGTAGGCTAAGGTAGAATTTCTGTGAACTTCATTTACTTTGTGGAATAGACTGGATTTTCAAAACAGTGGAAGTCACTTTGATGTACTGTACTATGTAGATTGCTGTTCTCTGGAGCTTGAGGAGATAGACTGCGTGCCTTGTGGTGAGACATGTTGCTGTGGTATCATTTTAAACAAATAATGTGCTGGGATGATGACTGAGGGTGGGATTTTTGTTGGGTTTATTCTCTGGAAGGAGGGAAAAGCTTTAGGAGTTGGTTGTGGCATTGGCTAAATTAAGTTTATGTGGGGTTTTTCTAACTCAAATGAAGGTGTTCTTTGTTGAAAATCATGTATGTCACAACTGATAAAAAGAATGTTAATAGATGAGATGTGTGTAAAAACTGAACTTGAACCAAGTGAGAGACTGAAGTCTGCTTGCTAAATATTGGCTTCAGATGTGGTTCTGGTCCCCAGCCTGCTGACCATCCCAGCACACACTGTGGTGTGATTTGTAGGTGCAGGCACTGCTGAAGATGTCAAAAGAAGCAAGGAGGTTTGATAGGGATGATCCTTATAGGCAGTTGATTCTTAGAGTGCCATCTCTCTAGGAAATAAGTAGAGGAGTGTGGAGTGCTTATAGGGTCAGAGCATGATGTAGGAATGGAAGAATCTCCCGTTGGTCTAACAGGATTTTTTTTTTTGGTCTTCTAAGAATGAAAAAAATCTGTAGTTGCGTGAGTTATTGAAGTAGTTCTCATTTGTGATATTAATAATGAGAACATTAGTTTTTAATACATATTTTTAATACGCATTTGAAGTAGAGCTCTGTTTTCCATAGTCCTGTAGGCAAATTCCTTGCTTCTTCCTTGTCTTCCAAGAGCAGCACAAGTATGGCATGCTTGCTCACATGTCTAACGTGTCCACAGCTCTGTCCAGCTTCCAGTTTAAATTGTTGAGATTGCTTCAGCTGGTGGACAAGGCTTACTTTCACTTTGTTAAGCTTATTATGACTTAAAGGCAAGCTAAGTTTGTAGAGTTTCATAAACCTCCTGCTGCTTTTGAACAAAGGTGACATTTTCAGTATCTGTCAGTCATTAGGGAAAATGGTAAATATTGCACAACTAAAAGATAAGCCTTTGTCAGGAAACAGCTTTGTCTTGTTAATCCTTTGTATCTGGCAGAGTACAGTATTGATTATGGGTGCCTATCTGATGCCATTGCTACCACTCCTTTTAGTTTGTAACCATACCAGGCCTTGTCCATAGCAGCAGTGTGAGCACACTACCAGCATGTGATGGTTGATATTATACAGTGTGGAATGGATGAGTTCAGGAAATATGGTAAACTGGTGTTATGTCTGAAAAGCTCACGTAAGTGCCTCTCTGTAGCCAGATTGTGCAGTTTCTAGTCCACACAGGCTGCATGTCTCCCAGAGGTTTGGGAAGGCAGATGGGCAAATGTTTGTGCAGATTTCAGTTCCGTAAGCACCTGTCAGCACAATATGGCATTGCAGAAGATGCATCTGCTTGCTCTGATTTTCTGCCTTTGATGGCTCCCACATCTTAGGTGGGACAGGGGCTGGTGCTGCTGCCAGAGATCAGGCCATGGAACAGACCTGTCTGAAAATTAACACGTTTTTTCTCAGATTCCCCTCTTAGGATAAGGGCTTCATGGCAGTCAGGGTTTAGGTATGCCTCTGAGATGGTAAAACTAGCTGAAGTGGTGTCTGGACTTCCTGGATTACTAGCAAAGTGTCAGTCTGTGTGATCTTATGAGTACGTGTGAAATCCCTACTTCTTGGGTAGAGAAGTCAGAGCAAGATGGAGTAAAGACAGTAGTGGTGACTGGTGATTGCCAGACCTGACTTCTTGCAGAGCTGGGCAGGTTGGGATGGCAAGAATTGTTTCTGAAGTGATGAAACATGTCACAATAAGTTGTCAGAGGAGAATTACAATTAAAACCATCTTCTAGCTCTGAGATTTGTTTGTGATAAGCTTTCTGGACTGCTCCCAGTGATGGGTGGGATGGGTGCTGGTGTTGCTGGTTAAAGATCTCTCTTAACTCATGCTTCCTGAAAGACAGATTACCAGGTGAACAAAAATTCATTCACCTTTACTAGTAAAGGTCCTTAAAAGAACAGGTCACATCCATATCCCATGTATGGGAATAATGAATAATTTCTAGTCAGAATGAGTTTTGTTACGCATAAAATATGAATTATTTTCAGACATTTATTTACCTTTCTATACCATGAACCATTAGTGCTGCTGCTTTGAGTTTATCTTGAATTATTTTCTGTTTTTTTTTTTTTTTTGGCCAGATCTTGTTTTCACTGTTTGATAATATAGGAATCAAATGAGCAGTGGGATGGGGGAGGTTTGCACGGTGCGTGCAGTGTTTCATCAAGGCAGGAAGGCTTTGGTATGCTGAAGTATTGCTTGTTGCTAGGCTACCAGAGGACCTTTCTCTGTCTAGAATATGAAGTTAAAATCCATGTTGGTTTCTCGATGATTCTTAGTGCATCTCTGTTTTGTTATTTGGCATGTAATTAGTCAGCCTCTTGAAACAAAAATTACAGTTTTTCTTCCTTCAAGCTTTCAGCAGGCTAATTATTTTTTGTGTAACTGCTCTTGCTAATTATGTAGATGCCTTATTCCCCTGGGACAAATACGTTTTCAGCATGAAAGAGCCAATAATTGCCTGCTAGTCTGCTGCTGTCTTCGTGTGGCATTGCATGATGGTCTCTAATTGGCTGTGATATGGAGAGGGGCTGCTGGACATAAACAGTTCTACTTATTGCAAGAAATCCATGCAGCACAGGTTTCTTCAACCTCATGTCTGGAAGGAGCTGAGCATAAAGCTTGCCATCTTTCTGTGGGTTTGAATTATCGTGAGTCTGACCAGGACTCTGGAAGAAGTTCCAGGACAGATTAGGAATGCAGAAAGAGATCTGCTGACAGATATAGACTGATAGGAAGTGACCCAAACCAAAGCTATTAGCAACTAAAACGTTGTAGTGCATTTTTGTGCTCTTTTTCATTATGATATCATAATACAGGGCCTTAATGTAAAACTTCTTTTTTAATTTTATTTTTACGTAGGTGACATAATTTCTGCAAATCCTTTAGTGTGGTGGTGTGCCTCTATGCTGGTTTAGTCAGTCTGGAGGAAATTAAACTTCCTTGTTTACATGGAATTTTGACTCTGCTCAAAAGGTGGTAGTGGTCTTTGGCTGCATGCAGGGAACTCAAAGCAGATCTAAACCCAGATGTCTGGAGCAGAAATCTCTGCCCTGATATCCTTATGCAGAGTAAGGTGAGGGAAGGCTGCAGTTTTAGTAGTTGCCTGGTTTTGTGAGAGTTCTAAGAGTAATCAGATTTAAACAGTGTTGAAATAGCGAAGGTGTTTTCAACTGCCAGAAGTCTGTGGAGATGGAATACAGAGCTACTTCTGTATTTGAGGTATTGTTTAAGGTAAATAAGCTGTTTCAGTTTGTTCTGTTCTTTGGTTGATGATGAAGCTGACAGATTAGAGGCAATTAGCTGGAAATGAGTAATTCTGGATTTCCATGCTATGCTGATAGTAAAGCTGGATCACTGGATGCTGTTTTCCTGTTTATTATAAGGAGAAAACTAACCTACATATGTGGGATGTTGCCACGTGTCTGTGGGTGGGATATGATTTGTCAACATGCATCCCAGCACCAGAATTAGACTGGGAGGAGTGGCTACGATAACACAGGTTTAGATCTGACACTGTGCTGAAGCTTC